TAATGGAGACATGGGTTTGAAAGTTATTACACGAGATACTGTTGACTTCCCATCCAACACTAAGTACTTTTTTGGCTGCTGAGGAACTAACCATGCCTACTTTTTAATCTATATATATAAAAGAAGGTTGTGTTAGTTACTACGCTTATAACTGAATAACCGCTAGACTGATTTTAACGATTCATACAAATTCGGAATTGTCTCTTGATCGAAAAGGATAAAATTCAAAAAAATCGGCTTTTGAAATGTACAAACGTAATGTTTTATCTTGCATTGTTTTCAATTTTGACTTTTTTCGAATGTACTTTGTAGTGTCTTTTATATTCTACTAGCTGAACCCGGTGCGCTTCGCTACCCCATTCTTTTTTTTATGCCTTCAAAATGTTATAAACTAATATATATTGGCCTTCAAAAAATAAAACAAATTTCAAAATTAAATAAAATCGTAATACTTTAATGCGTAACTAAACAAATAGCTCGGTCTACCAACGCGTGAACATGACGGGAACAGCTGACCATGAGAAAAGCAGGAACATGTCAAATTTTGTCCACATATACGAAGGGTTTTTCCTCGGATTTATTAATTTCATAGCAAATGCCAAGCGTGCAGGAAACTGCAATCTTTGGAAGTTGAGTGGTACCAGATTTCGTCTCTCTGTCCGAATTTCTTTGGAATCGGACATACATATCACATGGGGTGCATCAAATATGTACATCCAAATCTGAACCGACTTCAATATAATTTGACAAATGTATATTCGTCTTAAATTTCGTAACACATTCCAAATTTAATTGAAACTAGAGCTACCTTGCGTGTTTGGTGCATCAAATACATGAAATCGGCCGAAAATATATGTGGGAGCTACATCCAATTCTGAACCGATTTCAATATAATTTCATATCTTTATTTGTGAACCAAATTTAGGCACTCATGCCGAATTTCATTGGACTCGGACATACGTATCGTGCATCAAATACATGAAATCGGTCGAAAATATATATGGGAGCTATATCCAATTCTAAACCCATTTCAGTATAATTTGGCAAAATAATTTTCTAGACAAATTCCATCACGCTTTCCAAATTTCATTAAAATGTGTCGTAAACAGCGTGTTTATTGCATCCATAAATTACAAACAATCATTTTCCTCTTTTATAGATATAGATAGACGTACATCCCACATCTACATTCCCAACCAATATTCTCTTGGGAGTTTCAAATTCAATTGAATACCAAATTTTCTTTTCTGACCACACATTGGATGGGAAAGTGGACTTGGGGTACGCTAATGTGGAAACTATACTCAAATAAATGCCTATGTGGAGAATTATCGGTAAGATTATTCTCTACCCTAGAGTAGCCTAAATACAATTTTTTAGCCAAATCAATTGATGAATGTGGTCAAGACCAAGATGGACCCTACTCCGAAAATTGAAAATTTTTACCCCCTTAGAAACAAAGATGCCAAATAAAGGCCTAAAAATGAAAAAAAAAATGTCGAAGGACCCGAAAAAAGCTTCAATCATATATATGATGGTTATACCAAAACATGATCATTTTTTGCAAGGTTGGTATCTTCTCAAATTACCAAAATTAGTACGACAAATATGGTTAAAATGTAACATATACTTGAAATCGGGTTGTACCCTTATCCGGAGGTTATGACCCATATCATGGTCAGAAAAACCGATTTAAGGTATATTGAAAGTTTATGAATCATTTCTGGAAGGATTTAAATCCTTTTTTTACTAAATGTCCGAATCGCTCTACCATTTTGCATTCTTTAAATTCCGTATTTCACTGATTGCAGTCGCAATGAATTGCACTTTAAATTCTCATTGGTCGGATTGTTGTCATATGAAAGAAGTAGATTACTCATTCCATTTTTAATATTATTCATTGAAAAATTTTTCACTCCAATATAGTATGTCAAATTGAAAAAAAAAATCACATCAGAAAATATTCTTTTTTCATTCACATTTTCATTGGTATATTTTACCGCGATTTTTTGCCAGTGTACCATTCCAAAATTGTATGCATTGTCAAAATCCGTAAAGTCGTTCTTTAGTTATAAGCGTAGTACCTAAGATAACTTTCTTTTATATTGTGAAAATAATTCTTTAGTGTGTTTATAAAGAAATCGATTGAATTCAATATGATAAGCTAAATTGAAAAAATCGTACATTATATAAAATTGACAAATAAAAACAAATTAAAAAAAGAAAAAAAATTTTCAACTTTTTCGATTATTTTTTTACAGCAAAAGTTTAAAAGTCCTTACGGAGTTTGTCAATAGAATGTACTATTATTTTAAAATTCGATTCCAGTGAAAAAATTTTCAATATGAGAATTTTTGCAAAGAGATCTCTTTTTATCGATTTTGAAAAAGTAATTACCTTTTAACTTTGGTGTGACCGCGTTAAATTATTTCGATATCATCTATTCCATTTCGCCACCACATAATTCGGTACTACACTTCAATGTAACCCGCCTTCAATTTCAGTTCTCGAGAAATCGAGTCAATTAAATAAATTGGTATTGGTATATATATATATATATATATATATATATATATATATATATATATATATATATATATATATATATATATATATATATATATATATATATATATATATATATATATATATATATATATATATATATATATATATATATATAATTGTTGGTTGGTTGGTAATGGAATCAGTTGGAAATGGCTGGACCGATTTGCATAATTATACCCTACACTACAAAGTGGCAAAGACATAAAACTATAAAGTCTGCACAAAATGCATATGGGCTTTAATTTTTCCATCAGGTAATATATGTCAGGCGACATGCATTGGCATTGGCAATTTTAGAAAAATGTGTTATTCCGATATCGCCGAATATTGGCGGAAATACGAGGAAAAAAATATCAGGTATGATAGATATGCTCTCAAAAATCTATTCCAGAGCATTTCCTTGTACATTGAATCGATAAAATCAACAACAACCCTTAAAAAGTGTCAGCTCTGTTAAATTATAACATAATGCTATGTCACGACATCGTGACATAACATATTTTCCACTACCAACGACATCTATTGAAGAAAAATGGCAATGTAATGTCCCATCTTATTATATTATATGTCTTTGAAAGTGGTCAGGGTAATATGTCTTTGTGCATTTGTTTGTAACAGGCAAAAGGAAACGAGATAGACCCATAGTTCCTTTTGATGATCTGCATAGAATCACATTCTGAGTCGATATATGCATGACCGTCTGTCCGTCCATGTATTTTTGTAAACAAAGTACAGTTCGCATTTATTGCCCTATCCAGATAAAATTTATTGTGCACCAAACGTCTAATATATGTCCAAATGGGATGGAATTCGGCACTTACGACCGAATTGAGTCTAGAAGCTAGTATGTCAAATTTGGTGAAGATCGGTTCATATATAGCTATAGCTCCCATATATACTGTTCATCCGATTTGTTATATTTTTTAACCACAGCCATAATATGCACTCCGTAAGAACGATATCCAGGGAAATATCTTTGCCACATTTTATTGAAATCGGTTCCGATTTGGATATAGCTCCCATATATGTCTTTATCCGATTTCAAATTAATTGTGCACCAAATGGACAATACAAGTCCGAATTTAAAAGATACAAATGCTTCGGCATATATAGTCCTTTGAACTTTAAATTATAATTATAATCTATATCTATAAAAGAGGAAAATGTATGTATGTTTGTTTGTTTGTTTGTTTGTTTGTAATTTATGGACTTGAAAACCGCTGAATAGATTTTCCTGAAAATTTCCATATATACTGCAACATCGCCTGAAAGTAACATAGGCTATATACATTTTTGAATTTCCACTTGGAACTGGAGATATAGCATCAGAAGCGGAGGTACCTCCCAAAAATTTAGATTGGTTGAAGATACAGTCTCCAAATTTGGAATACGTAACGGAATTTGGAACAAAAATAAGTTTGCCAAATTATATTGTAATCGGTTCAGATTTGGATATAGCTCCCATATATATTTTCGACCGATTTCGTTCATTTGATGCCTCAAACTCAATATGAATGTTCGATTCCAATGAAATTTGGAATGTGTGACGGGACTTAATCCGAAAATAAATTTGTCAAATTATATTGAAATCGGTTCAGATTTTGATATAGCTCCCATATATATTTTCGGCCAATTTCAAGCATATGATGCCTCAAACACAATATGAATGTTCGATTCCAATGAAATTTGGAATGTGTGACGGGACTTAATCCGAAAATAAATTTGTCAAATTATATTGCAATCGGTTCAGATTTGGATATAGCTCCCATACACATTTTCGGCCGATTTCATGTATTTGGTGGACCAAACACGACATGTATTTCCAATTGTAATGAAATTAAAAATAAGTAACGGAATTGAGAGCCAAAATGAATTTGTCAAATTAAATTGAAATCGGTTCAAATTTGGATATGGCTCCCATATATATATTCTCGGCCGATTTCACATATTTGACGCACCAATTTCAATGAATTATGAAAGGTGTGGCGGAATTTTGTGTAAAAGTAATTTTTTTAAAATTATATTTAAATCGGATCAGATTGGGATATGATTTTAATAACCCAGCTAGCATTTGGAAGATTGTTTTTGAAAAAAATCACTTTGGTGAGTCTTCTTCGAGTCCTTTTGGTGTCCAAAAAATGATTAACTGACTTGTATGATCGAAAAGCGACTCGAAAATGACTCTCTCTAATGAGTGTAAAGAGATCAATTTAATATACAACAACAAAATGTAGGGGAATCGTAAATCAATCATTGAGTTGTGCAAAATGTGACCATTTTTCCGTTATTTATTATAGTATTGCGGTCATCTAGAGATTGAAAAATGATTAGTTCTAAAAAGATCTTGCAGCTGTTTGAAAAGTGATCAAAATTACGTATTTTTTGATCATATTTTGCTTGTTTTGTTATGCAAGGGTCATTTTGTTTCTCGTCTGACAATCAAAAAGTTGAATTACTGTTCATTTGTAAAAAGTGCATAGAGGCGTCAACAGCAAAAGTGTATAATATTGAAAAGTGAAAAAAATATGAAAAAGTGTACGTTTATCTCTTTGTTTATTTATTAATTTTTGTAAAGAAAATGTCAGCAAGTTAAATTACAAAAATAGAAAAGGCTTAAATAAAAACGCTGGCAAAAAAGAGGCAGAAAATTTAATTTTGCAAAAAAGAAGTAGAACTGAATATGAGAAAAATGAAGAAACTGTCCAGAAACGTGAATTGGTAAAGCAACATGAGACAGAACTTGATTTGTAAGTATAGAAAATTGGGTATTTGATTGATTAATTCACTACTTTATAAACTATTAATACTTATATATTTTTTTGATAATCTATTTCCAGAAAGAGTTTATTGCAAAAACCGAAAGGTTTTTCAGATAAATTAGCCTGCCAATACAGCTGGAAGGGGACAGGGTATATCTGAGTGCAGAAAAGTGTTATTTAGTTACAGTAATCAAAAGTAAGTTTGTCTTTTTAACACGTATATAAAGAATTAGTAAAATGGACAGACTTGTACATATTTTATTTCAGATATGTGCCATCTCAAATACTCAAGCAACGACAAGAATATGAACACAATCCTACAAAAACATTTTGTTCACGCTAGAGACCGCGTTACAAATAGAAAACGGCCCGATTGCAGTTCCTGATTTTTTATTTTTTGATTTTTCATTTTTTATTTCATTTTTAAAATTTTTTTCATTTTCTTATTTTATTTTTTACTATATTTTTACAATCGCATTTATTGATATTACAGTACAAATTATAATCATAAAAGCTGAATTATTTTTATTTTAAATAAATTTATATATGAACATATATAATTAAATTCTTTTTTTACGGTACATCCGAATATTTAGAAATCACGTACGTGATTCGTAGAATCGTAAACACTCATATAAGACTCATAAATGACTCAAATTTAAGACAAAGGGGACTCATAATAGACTCCTAACTGAATATACATATGAGTGATATATGACACTTAAAAGACTAATAAATTACTCACTTAAGACTCATAAATGATCAGAAAATGACTTAAAAAAGACTCGAAAAAGATTCACAAATTAAGCGTTTTAGCGCAATAAATGATTATAAAATCACTCGAAAAAGACTCGTAGAACGATCAGAAAATGGTCGAAAAAGACTCTTAACTAATCTAGAGGAAGACTCATATGTGATTTATTTAGAAGAGTCGCGGGAGGTCACGTTTTTCTCCCGACAACTGAGTCTTTTATGATCAGAAAATGCGCTCATATTCCAGCTTTTTAATCACGCAACCGTATCAAAAAAGACCCGAATATGATTAAAAATTTCAAAAAATGCTGACTGGGAAGAACCATTGACCCACAACGACTTTGGCTAACACTAAAAAACAACACAACAATTTATTTGAAATACGCTTATTACGGCGAAGTATGTTGCTATCTCGAATTCACTAATTGCAATAGAAATGCCACTCTACTTAAAAAAATTGCAGTTTCCCGCACGCTTGGTATTTGCTATGAAATAAATAAATCCAAAGGACAAACCCTTCGTGTATGCATGTCATGTTACTGCTTTTGTAATGATTTTGTTTATTAACGCATTAAATTAGTGCAATATTTTTTTTTTTTTAATTTTTAAATTTGTTTTTCTTTATCCAACATATATTCGTAAATAAAATTTTGAATGCATATAAAATCAAAAGGGGTAGCGAAGCGCACCGGGTTCAGCTAGTATATATATATATATATATATATATATATATATATATATATATATATATATATATATATATATATATATATATATATATATATATATATATATATATATAAATCAATTGTTGTTCGGTGGTAATGGAATCAGTTGTAAACGACTGGACCGATTTGCCTAATTTTTTGTACAAATATTCGTCATACTCCGAGTTAGGTTTTAAAAGAAAACAAGTAAAACCAAAACCATACAGTTTATATAGGCGAGATACTCGAAAGAATTCCACAAGATATTGTGACAAATAATAAAAGAAAACCATCATGTTTCGTTCTCTAATTTTCGAGTAATAGCAACTTAAACGAATTTGCTCATTTCCAATTTATTGGTAGATGTTGCACGTAAATGGTCTTCCTAGATCTGGAACCAATATTTCCCAAAGACCTATAATCTTTCAGAAGTGGCAAAAGATTAACATTTATTATTGGTTTTTGACTGAAACGCATCTATATGAGATACAGACATTTGACTATATTCTTCAACGAAATCAGCGTTAACGAAATAGTCAGAAGTGCGTCTTTCCTGCATTTGTGAATTCTCCAAAAAGTCGCTGGAATGGACATTTTCGTATTTAGTCTACAAAAGTTGGCAAACTATTTCACACATTGAATATTTTTGGATGGCCATCCGAAACTGCTTGTCTTTTGCAATGTGCGGTAACCCCCATTCAAATGTGCGTGAGGATCGGGCGATAATTACGACCTGCTGAATACTTTGCAGTTTTTTGGTTCATTTCAACCCCTAAATATGTAGCGATCATTTCCAAAAAGGGTAGGCTTCTATTCTGACCCTTATCTTATCCCCATGCTAAATTTCATAACAACAAAGGATCGGGCCATAAATGCGATCTGAATATGATATCCTGATATCCTAACTACTTAGTTTTGATAGCTGTAGAAATGTTACCAAATGTTTAATTCAAAATGAAAATATGCCAAAAATATGACAAAATTGAAAAAATATGGGAAAACATTACAAAATCAATATTTTCATCTTTAGAGAGATATTTTTATGCAATTTTTTTAGATGTTTTTTCTTTCCTGCCAAGAGGCCATTTTGAATTAATGAGAACTGTCGAAATCAGTTCAGCCGTTCTCGACATATAAGAGATCTTTCAAGCATATCTTCTTTGATAGACATATATATCGCACATATTTTGCTATATATCCGATTTGTTGGATGTTAACATTAATGTAAAGGTCAGGAGTAACCTTGTCATGGCTTTGGGATTTCGACGGGATTTAAAATATTCACGGTTTAATGAAAAATGTTGAATTTTTTCAACACAAAAGATATGGTCTATTTTACCCGCTAAATATTATCCGATGACCACCCAAATTGGTAGGCTTCTTCCCCGCCCTAAACTCTAGCTACATGCGAAATTCCGCGTCGATTGGTCTATAATTGCGACCTGTATAGCCACTGCAAAATCCTACATTTCTTCAGTATTTTGTCCATTTGGTCCAAAAGAAAGAGGCTTCTATTCTGACCCTAACCTCACCTTCGTGCAAAATTTCGTAAGGATCGGGCCATAATTGCGACCTGTAGCGTGATTACAATTAACATGGACAGACGGACAGACGGACGGACGGACATACATAGCTAGATCGACTCAGCTCGGCGAGCTTGGAAGATCCATATATACGTTCCTATATGGGAAACCAATATTTCGAGGTGTTACATAAATTCTGGCCCAATCAAACTTATAATACCCCCAACACATGTTAAGTTCGGCCGGTCCAAACTTTTAATACCCTCCACCTTAGGGTAAAGGAAACATTTGAAGAAATGTGGCAAAAACCATTAAAATGCCGAATATCGGGAGGTACCGTTATATGGGGGCTATACCAAATCGTGGACCTACACATGCAATGTTTCGTCAAAGAAGCTAGAACCCACTATGACCTACAAATACCAATTTTCAGACAAATCCGTGATAAAATGTGACAAAAACCATTAAATTACCGAATATCGGGAGGTACCGTTATATGGGGGCTATACCAAAACGTGGACCTATAATTACAATGACTCGCCATACGAACTGGGACCCATTATGATCTACAACTACCAATTTTCAGAGACATTCTTGCCGTATATCGGGAGGTACCATTATATGGGGACTATATCAAAACGTGGACCCATACATACAATGTTTCGCCACACGAACTAGGACCTATTATGACCCAATTTTTTAGACAAATCATTGAAAAATGTGGCAAAAACCATCCAAATACCGAATATCGGAAGGTACCGTTATATGTGGGCTATACCAAATCATGTACCCATACATGCAATGTTTCGCCAGCGCAGCTGGAACCCATTATGACCAACAAATGCTAATTTGTAGACAAATCCGTGAAAAAATGTGGCAAAAAAAAAAAAAAATTAAAATACCGAATATCGGGAGGAATATACCAAAACGTAGACCTATACATGCAATATTTTGCCACACGCACAGGGACCCGTTATGACCTACAAATACCAATTTTCAGACAAATCCGTGAAAAAATGTGGCATAAATCATCAAAATACCGAATATAGGGAGGTACCGTTATATGGGGACTATACCAGAACGTGGACCGATATATCTCATTTTCAATACCAACCATCCTAGACACAATACAAATTGCTCTGCTAAATTTTGGCGCTCTACTTCAAATAATGTGCGCTGTATCGTGATTTCAACAGATAGACAGACGGACAGAGAGACGGAAAGACAGACAGACAGACGGACAGACAGACGGACATAGTTAAATCGACTTAGAATTTTATGCTGATTATGAATATATAAACTTTATGGGGTCTACGACGAATATTTAAGGATGTTACAAACGGAATGACAAAGTTGATATACCCTCCTTTCCAAGGTGGAGGGTATAAAAATATTGACCACGCCTTTTACGCCCACTATTTCGATTTATCTAAAAGCCTTATATTTCCCAAATAATGAATAATGAACTGTTGACCCTAAGTATTTATTTGGGGGCTGAGGAACTGACCACGCCTACTTTTTAATCTATCTATAAATACATAAATAAATTGTTGTTCGTTAGTAAGAATCAGTTGAAAACGGCGGGAACGATTTGGATAATTTTGTTTTAAATGTTCGTCGAACCACGACCTAGGTATTATGCAAAGAAAAAGTGACCACGCCCAATTTTACGCTCATTTTTTCGATTAACCTAAAATCCTAATATTTGCCAATATCATGAAGATATATGTTCCACAGTTAGTATACGACATAATCTTGACTTGAGGTCAGAGGAACTGGCCACACCTACTTCTTTAAATCTATGTGTAAAAAATTTAAATACATATAGTAACACATCAGTTGAGAACCGCTGGACCAATTTGACTCAAATTTTCTTTCGGTTATTTGTAAATACAGTGAAAACGTTTTCATGAAAGAAAATTTTGAGAAAAGACTCCGAAAAAGTCGCGGAACTGGAAAAAATTACTGTTCAATTTTGATTTGGAATTTTTTGTGGAATTGTTTCAGAATGCCTTTTGGAATTTAAAATTCTTATAGAAAAAAAAAAAACGAAAAAATTGAGAAATTTGGCATATTTTCTACAGATATGATTCCCATACCAAAACTTTCAATTTTGATTAAAAAATACTTCTCAAAACACCAAACATATAAAATCTCAACGTCCTTTTAAATTTAGTCTATGCCTAATTGGGACCAACAGTAAACAGTTATTGTCGGCATTGATTTCACAATACCGAAAACTTTAAATTTATTTGGTAGAAATTGTAAGAAAAACATGCAAAAGGACGAATTTTCAGTGGTATTATCATACCTAAACGAAATGTATATATTCGAACTTCCTAGGAATATTGTATAAAAGTTCAAAGATTAATTTAAATATTCGCCTTTATTGCGATTTCAACGAACGACCGCATACACAGACGGATATAGATTAATTAACATAGGATATTACACTGGTAAAAACTAAATTCCTTACAACATGGTCTTCTAAAAGTTACGAAATCAAAATTACTTTTGATTTGGAAAATATGGCTAAACCCTTCATAACACTGATAATTGAG